TGAAGAACTTGCAATAGTAGCGGCGCTACTAATTATAAAAAGAAAGACAAATAAAAAAAAATCAAAAGAGTATTGGGTGCATCCTTTGTTAGAAGAACGGAGGTCAAAGGGAATGTTTAAAATATTTTATGAAGACGTTAGAAAATATCCTCGTAAATTTTTTAATTATGCAAGAATGTCTGTGAGTTCGTTTGATGTCTTATTGTGTCTTCTAAAACCACATATAACTGGCATAGATACAAATATGCGACCATGTATTTCTCCGGAAGAAAAACTTTTTATAACACTAAGGTAAGTGACAATTCAAATAAAATTCATTCCTAACATTTATTTTTTACGGGATTTTAACACAATTTACATTACATTCCCGGACACATCTATCGGCCAAACCTAGTGTTTAAAGTGTTGACAATCCCTAGCTAAAAATAAATGTTAAGTGGTGCAATAAGTTTTTATGCAGTTTTTTACGAAAACGATGGCCAGTAAATCAGCTTCACACTTGCAAAAACTTATTGCTCTTCCTAACATTTATTTTTAGCTGGTCTCCAGTCAAAACTTAAAACTCAAGGTGGACCGATAGATGTGTCCGGGAGTGTGTTTAGAGTTACAGATAATGCCATCCACGAAGATGCGCGATTAAATTTAAATAGAGCATCTTTCGTGCTGTTCATAATACTCTTTCCTGATTAGTCAATTTCTATTAGTGTGCGTTTGCATTCATCGATAATTAGCGTGTATCGACAGATGTTTAACACATGCGGAAGATAGCACACATGCATTTGAACAAAGAGTGGGGCGCGTCTTCGTGGATGGCACTATCTGTAAGTCTACTCTTCGATGACATAATTTAAAAATATACGGTAAATAATTATAAAACATGTATTTTTTTTAAAGTACTTAATGAAATCAATATTATAAACGAACGCACAACAAAAGGAAATATTCAAAATAGATCCAAAATGTCAGAATCTTGCGAGGTATTTGAAGTGACAGTAGAAAATCGCGACTCTGGGCGTTCACGTTCTGAAGGAGTTGAAGTTGGTAGCGTATAATAATGTTGTGCTTCAGGGCGTGATTGTTGACTTGGTGCTGTTGAACGCCCGGCCTCCGGTGTGAAGTAACCACGCTCATACTCGTACTCATTAAAATTTCGCCACATTGTGTTTGGATATATATTATTTTGAGTAGAGGATCGGAATGATTCGATTACACTGATTAATTGAATTTTCGCAGCTGACTTTTTGTGCTCCGGAATTGCCCTAAATGATGATAATAGGGACATCAGGAACATTCTGTCCTCATCTTGTTCCAAAATATCCTCCTTATTTTTGCGAGTTTCAATACACTTGTTTAATGTGGTTAACAGTTCGCTTGTGCCATCATCTGACGTTTTTTTCTTTTTTCTTCCGACTATATTTTCTCTCGAGTAAGGTCCTAAAGGTTCTTGATCATTTGTCAAATGTTCTTGTTCAGCAATGTTACTCTCTGTGTTCAAATTACCAACGGTATTCTTCAAAAATAACAGCTGATTATAATAAATATAGGGAGTTTTATGGGAAGCAGCAGATCCGCTTTTAGTATTTTTTAATCTTCGTACTTCTCGCGAAAAGCAGCTTCTTATATTTTTCCATTTCTTTTGAAGTGAATGACCTGTAAATAATGTATATATTTAAATTATTTTTTAATTCCAGATATCTTGGAAGCGGTTGTAAATTTGTAGATTTACATTACTCATACAAACTTGGGATTTCAACTATAGCTGAAATAATAAGAGAAGTTTGTCATTTTATATGGGTTGTACTAAAAGACATGTGTTTACCGCAACCGACAAAAGAAAATTGGTTAAAAATCGCAAAAGATTTTCATTTACGGGCCAATTTTCCAAATTGCATAGGTCATTGTGTTATAATTACAAACACTTCTTTTCTGTAATTTTGCTTGCCATTTGTGACTCTGACTATAAGTTCATATACATAGACGTTGGTTCCTATGGAAAGGATTGCGATTCAACTATATTTACAAATTCAACGTTTTATCAAAAGCTAATGAACAATGATTTGCAAATACCCGAACCTAAGCCCATTTCATCGACAAACCCTATACCAGTACCGTTTGTTATTGTGGGTGACGAAGCATTTGGACAAACTGACAAAATTATGCGACCGTTCGGTGGATCAAATTTAACAACAAAGAAAAAAATATTTAATTATAGGCTTTCTCGTGCACGACGCCATATTGAATGTTCATTCGGCATATTAGCAAACAAGTGGCAGATTTTTCACAGACCTATCAACGTGAATTTAGATCTAGTATCATGCATCATCAAAACATGTTGCGCTCTTCACAACTATGTCCGAGAAAGAGACGGATATAAATTTGAAGATACCCTGAGCATTCCTGGCTTTGAAGAAGTCCCAAACGGTTTCCAAAGAGCTACGCGACGTGGTGCATCATACAGAGATGTATTTGCTGATTACTTTACAACTGAGGGTCAATTATCTTGGCAGATGAGCAGTATTAATTAATAAAAAATAAATGGCATTTCTTACTTACCTGAGTTTTTTTTTCTTCGTCTGATAATTCTTCACCTCCAAATAACTCCACTATTTCTTCCCACTGTTTTTTCTTCAAATCCCGATTAGCATATTCCTCACTTTGTAAATCCCAAATAGCTTTTCGGGATTGTATTTCCGATATAAATTTATCCGTGTCAAAACTCATTATGCGCGGCCGTCCGGTCGTTACGACAGTTGCTCGCAGTGTGAATGCTTTCAATGAAAGCAATTTGAAACCGTGCTCCTATTGGTCGCCGGCGACCGGCAGTTGCCTGTGCGTCGCCACTGCGCGGCGAGTCGCCGAGTTGCCCGGGCAACCGGTGACTAGTGCGTAAACACCTATTTAAACTATACAATATTACAGTCGTCGACAACTGAGTCGCCGGCGACTAGTCCACAGTGCGTAATAGCTCTTACGCAATATTTAGTTTGTAGGGATTGCACTACAGTTCAGTTGAAGATAGTTAGTGTTCGGAATGGCTTCTCTAGTACGTAGTACATATAACTCAATGTACATAATAATATTATTTAAAACGAGGAATTTTAATTTGATTTAAATGCAATACGTAATGCATAGACTAATAGGCTCTAACGGCAATAGTAACGGTAAAATGTACAACGATTTTTATTTAAGTTTGTGGTTATTAAATGTTTTTTTAATAATTAGAGTGTATGAGTTGAACTGTACTTGGGGAAAAGTTGGAAGAACAAATAAAATTGAATTCCGATCATCCACCCCGTCTGGGGTGGCGTTTCTGATTATCCACCCTAGGGTACTGTCTGCTTTATCACATCCGCAGTAATTAGGTTACATAGGTCACTCAATAAGTTTTGAGATATACAAAAAGAATTCTAGATACTATTAATATGTATTTTACATCTTTTCAAAATATTATCCATCATGCTCTATACAAAGTTCCATTCGCCTAAACCAACTCTGAAAACACTTTTGCCAGTCTTGCTCTGACAGGTCGGAAATCGCTTCTTCGTAGACAGCCACGGCTTCTTCGGCGCTTGAAAAAAAACTTGCCTTTTATTTTTTCTTTGACTCTTGGAAACAAAAAGAAATCACAAGAAGCTAAGTCTTCAGGCTGTAGGGTGGGTGACTTAGAGTTTCAACACCAGATTCCTCAATAAATGCTTTTGTTTTAAGGGAGGTATGTGAAGCGGCTTTAGCATGATTCCCCGAAGCCCGGTCTTTGGTCTTCTCTGCCGCACAGCTTGAAAAGCTTTGGGTAATGCAACTGTAGTATACCATTCAGAGTTGACTGACCTACAATTTTCCAGCATAGACGTCGACAAATGTCCGCTCCGAGAAAAAAAAAGCTAGTTACCATTTTTTTGCCGACGTTACGAGGTCTTTGCAGTTTTGTCGTTAACTGTCCTTCTGATTAGACCCATACCGATGATTGCCTTTTATTTTCAGGATCATATTTATAGATCCATGTCTCGTTACCAGTAACGATTTCTGAAACATGCCTAGAGATGCCCCGTTTTCCAAACGTAGACGCATTTCATGGCTCTAATCTACACGAGTCTGTTTTTCGCTTTCGGAGAGCAAACGAGGGATCCATCGACAACAAAGCTTCCTTACTCCAAGATGCTGATGTAGGATGGTATGAATACTCCTCAAACGAATGCCTACAATCTTTTCGATGTCCGTATATAAGATTCATGGATGTTCTCGCACCAACATTTCAGTAGTCCATACATTTTCTGCCGTTACTGCTGTTTGCGGGGCCCTGGTTCTGTGGTCACCTTTAACATTAATTTTACCCCTTTTGAATTCAGCAAACGGCCTAACACTTATTGCGCGTGATGGCGCTGAGTCCCCGAATGCTGATTGTAACCGTTGTAAACTTAATTGTTCGGTTAAACCAAATTTAAAATCATAATATATCATAACGCGCAAATGTTCACGGTTAAGATCCATTGTTTTAAATGAAAAGCGCGGGAAGCGTTGCAGGATAATTAATAGAGCTTTGTTTTTTTTTAATATTGTGCAATTGGCTTATGGAGTTCTATTTTTAAATAAATTTGCTTTTTAGAAACATAACACGAGTGCGTTCCATTTTTAAATTTCGAGCATCTCAAAAATTGGAGTGACCTACGTATCTCTTTAGATTTTAATATTATTACAAGAATGGAAAAAACAGAATTGAGTCCGCTTGATAGTAAATTGTTGTAGTTAGTCTTTCTTGTCACTCTTAGGACAAAAGTGGAATGCCTCGTTATAAGTAAAATGTATCCTCGGTTCTCGCATTTCGGGACACAACGGAATGTATTGCTATTTTACGCTGGTACACTAAAGGTGCGTGGTATTCTCTTGGGCAAGCCAATCATGCTAAAGCTATGCAATAGCTATGTGCTTACCATGTAAAAATATTTCATATTTTAGACTTTGTACTTGGTTATAATTATATATTTATTATCGAATCCTTGTAGCCCATGTTAGAATGCGCTCGCACCAAGGGTCCGTGCTCAGTGAAACCAGTTGCAGATCCACCGCCTTGTCCTCCACCTCCTCCGCCACCATTCCCTTGGATTTATGTGTGGGGTTTGGCTTCATTCTTCGGCCTTATGGGATTGGTAAGTTTGCTTCGATGATATCCTTTTAAGTGTTTTTTGATTATCATCATCATTTTAACCATCGTATTATAATCATAATTTTTATAAAATAAGGGTGACAAACGACCCCACAGTTCACCTTTCTCATTCCTCAATTAAGAATCCGTTGAGTTATATGTACTACGTACTAGAGAAGCCATTCCAAACAAAAATTGTGTCCTACTCTATGTCTTCGCGCATGCGCGGTAGTAGTAGTCGCGCATGCGCGAAGACTTTAATTTAATATAAAATAAGATATTAATATAAAATTAATATAAGAATTTAATATAAAATATCTTAATTTAATCTAAACAAACATATTTCTAAATAAAATGTAATAATAATTATTTTATGGAATTCACAAATCTTCAATTTACGCAATATTTAGTTTGTATGGATTGCACTACAGTTCAGTTGAACATAGTCAATGTTTGGAATGGCTTCTCTAGTACGTAGTACATATAACTCAATGTAAGAATCAAAATGCAGAATGCGCTGTCACCCCTGAGGACTAAGATGGAAAGCCTCTTGTCCAGAAAAAAGGGTCTCCGGTTCTCAAGACTCACCATACGAAACACAGCAGCATTAAGCTGCTATTTTACGCTGGTTTTCTGTGAGAGCGTTGTCCTTCTCCGTGCTACAACTAGCATGGTTCTACCACGTATAAAATCTCTATTATTGTTTGTACCGTTGGTTGGTTCAGAAAGTAGGTGGGTTCTTAAAAATGTCAAGATTTGTTTTATCTTACTTCCGCATACGTACAAAGTAACTTTCTAGGGAAGGGATCACTGGCGTGACGTAGGGGCGAAGTCCAATCGCTGTTCCCTCAGCGTCGTAGACAGCCAGCTAGCAGAATGAGATACAAGATGATATACAAGCCCGACAGTGATGATGGCCGTTGGTAGGATAGTAGGCCAACACTCCGTTAGCTCTTGGCATAGCAAGCAAGTAAGTCTTAGGTGGTAGGTGGATCCTGGAACCTCAGAAGGAGGTCAACATTAGGGAAACTTCCAATAGCACTATATGCGCCCCAGTCAAGTTCCAGCACCCCTTATCGGAAGTTAAAAATTCCTAAGCACTAAGCAGCGTCAGCAGAAGAGGTAGAAATTAAGCAGGACATGTTTGCTGTAGTTAAAATAAATAAGAACTCACACCAGCGGGATCAACTGCACTTTGAAGTTCAACGGTCGTTTGTTTAGGCTCATGTGCGTTGCGAACTTCAAGCAAACTCAGATAGAAATGAACTCTATCTCCCTAGCTGAATATATACCTGGTACAGCCAAGCTGCAGCTATATTAGTAGTATAATAGTACATATAGTAGCACGAATGGTTCGGCTCGTCTGGGGAAGGGCCACGTTCTCACAGAATACCAGCGTAAAATAGCAGCTGAACACCGCTGTGTTTCGTATGGTGAGTGTAGAGAATCGGAGACCCTTTTTACTGGAAAAGAGGCATTCCATCTTAGTCCTCACGAGTGACAAAGCATCTGCATTTTGGTTCTTTATTGAGGATATATGTAGATGTCTATGGGTCACAGCAGCCACTTACCATCAAGTGGACTGTGTGCTCGGTATCACCCTATCTTATGAAAAAAAACCTGAATAATTTTGGTTTGTTCTAAAATGGCAGTAAGGACAATTTGCTATAATCGCCGTGCATGATAGGCAGATTGGCAATGACATTATCAGACGCTGCTAACCGCCAGGTTCTACTGGTTAGTGGTTTTTAAGCCATCTATACAAATCGTCTATGGCGTTTCCTATGGCTATATATATATATAATTCTAACGATATTTACTTGGTGACATGGAGTTTTAGATTTTTATCGCTTACTCCACAAATGCACTTTAGGTCTTTTATGTAAAAAAATACGTGTAGGTTTATATTCCTTTTTATTTTAATATTTTATAGATATACAAGTTATATCTGTGGAATGAAGCTCGCATCAAACTAGGAGAGAATGTTCCAGTTTGTAAGTTGTCGTTTTTTATTAAAATTGAATTGTAACTAGTCTAAGTAGCTACTGCAACCTATGAACGAATTTTCACATTAAAATCGCAAATGTTTCGTAATTTTTTTGAGTAATTTTAGACTGGGAATTTCGATTACATAACTAGAAGTGGATTGTATCCAAACCTCTTTTCCAAAGGGCAATACAAGCAAAACTATTTGTTAACTGTTAAATGACTGTTTCATGAATCTGTTATAACAAATGTTAAAACACTTATATCTCCTTCAATAATTTAAAAAGTAGTAAACGTTTTATATAATATATAGGTATTATAATAATAATGCCATATAGACCGAATTTCGGTCACGGCAGCTAGTTGGTGTTGAGACTTCTACGCAGGACAGGTTTATAGTGCCCGAGTGTATACATAAGTACACGTGCACTCTTTATTCCCTCACTCTTGCAGTACGATGGGAAGTCACACTGATATTACTCGAGAGAGATCAAGCGTATGATCAACAGCTTTACGTGCTTTGTGAGGCACGAGGTTGTAACAACGCTAAATTCCTGACTCGGGGCTGCTACCAAGCATTTTTTGACAGAAAATCCTAATAACTCATTTTTGCCCAACCTGGGATTCGAACCCGGGACCGGGACCTCAAGACCGCCATTCGCGTTTACGACTACTAGACCAATGAGAAACCAAAAAAATATACTTATTATTACTTTCTTTAAGAGATTCTTGATCACATTATATTACACTTTAATTTTTTTATAGGACAGGGTGACAAACGAGCACACAGTCCACCTGATGGTAAATGCTTGCTGTGACCCATGACATATATATTATCTGTCCTCAACTGCGAATTAAAATGCAGATGCGTTGTGAACCGTGAGGACTAAGATGGAATGCCTCTTTTCTAGTAAAAAGGTTCTCCGGTTCTCTACAATCACCATACGAAACACCGCAGCGTTAAGTTGCTATTTTACGTACTATATTCTATATTCAATTTTAATTTAATTTTTAATCAATATAGGCAAACGTGTAGTGGCGTTGTAACGATATCAACTACCCCATATCATCCCGTGAGTGTCGGAAGAGGCAACAGAGAAAAACCAATACAGGAGATGGGCGGCAGCATCTTCCTAATAATGACTAAAAAAATAACTGCGGTTGCCGACCAACCGTGGCAGCTATGGTAAATTTCCTCCATATGATGCAATCTATGGTGGAGGTCTATGTTCAGCAGGGGATTTTAATAGTCTGTAACAATAACGGTAGCAATATAAGCACTCTCCTTCCCAGGGCGTCCCCGTCGCATGATAAAGCGTCCTTTTCACCACAAAGATTTACCGCCTTGTGTACAGTACCTGATTATTGGGGCTGGAGCAGCTGCCTGGGCGGCTTATAGGTCCATCATAGAACATGACAAGAAAGCGAAGGTAATTTCTACTTTTTAATATGAATCCTTTTTGAATCATACTAAAATATTATTGGATTTCCACAAGGCACTATTTTCGGGCCCATATTGTTTTCTTTTTTTATATATAAAACTGAAGTGAAACGAACTTACAGTACACTAAGTGGCCAATGTAGCTCATGGACACTTGCAACTGTAATTATACTGGCTCTGTATACCATTCAGGCTGGAGATCAGCAGTGCAAGCACTGCTATTTGATGACAGAAATAGGAAAGAGAGTGGTACCTGACCATACAGACACCTAGGCATAAAAGCAGCCTTACTACCTCGTAATTGTAAGGCGTAATTTTTTTTATCAAGCTAAGAACAGTTCGCCATTTGGTGTACCACGATAAATCACTGTATTATTCAACGCCGAGTCTCCATCCCAAAGCACTTTGTCATTTCGCTCTTAGTCACACTTTACATCACCCGTGGGACGAAATGATTCTCTTTACCGGCGTTGCCTACAAATAATTCATTTAGCTTGAAAATATTAATTTAATAGCCTTGAGGATCGTAATAAATGAACAAAAATTTACAATGTGCCGGAAACAATGGAGTAACTTATGATTAACGATACAGACAGTGAAATTAAAAAGTCATGGGTTCTAATTCTTAGCACTTCTGCCGTGAGAACGTATCTTATGTATTCTGCGGCGTGAGTAGCTCACCAAGGAGTGGTTAACGGAGGTACCCTGTTCTTACATACTCGTACGTAGCCTTTGTCGACGCAAACTGTTGGATACAGTGTGGTTATCACCGCGCCTCTGACACATTGGAGATTCTCACATCCCATTGAGATGTATTAAAAATCATAAATTAAATTTAAATGTATTAAAGAACGATCATTGTACGTGCCCATGCTATTGTTCCATGTTTTGCGGCTAGGATAGGCTTTAAATAAATGTGCCAACTGCTGTGACTGATAGGGTATTTGGTTTGTGGTTGTGCAGGCGATTGGCTAGCCAACTTGAACTTCTACAATTTTTCAATTTAAGCCCATACTTTTTTACTAAACGTGGTCCGAGTAGATTGCTGCTCTTTCGTCTCTGCCTACCCCCTTAGCGAATATAGTATTACTTATCACACTATAATCACGGACGGAAAAAACTGAATTATATTAAAATAATATTAATATAATTAAGTTTTTTCTCGTCCGCTCTAATGTTTATAGTGTTATTGTGTTGGACCGTAGCAGAAAAAGAACTCGTGCTGGTTACATAAAATGTTTATTGCGCCACACGGTGAAAATACAAAATGACCGTTAGATTTTTCAAAGCGCGGGACGACTTAAACGTATATATGTGTACACTAGCGGAGACTCGGCAACAACTGCCTGCCAAGATTGCTGGCGGGGGATCGCTCCTTCTTATCTACCTTACGGATAATATTACAAATACATACAAGATTACCTACACATAATTTATAAAATAACCGTTATTATACTATACAAACAAACCTTAACCTAAGATACAACATATTAGAAAATTAATAATAAATATTACATACAAGAACAATGCGTCGCCAACAGTTATAGTGTTCATTTAAATACGACACATATTACATATTGTTAATACAACTTTCATTCACGTTACGAAAATATACGGTTGTGCCAAATTACTCATATTACAATCAAATACAAATCTTTACAATTTGCGCTCTTCCAACGTCCAAACGGTACAAATATATGAACTAATCTGATCGCATTCGCCTCTCGCCATTCTGCGACGTACGACGTACAAGAATTGGGTCAAGTTTTGGAATGTAGATGTCTATTGGCCAAGCATCCTAATGAACTGATCTGATCGCATTCGCCTCTCGCCATTCTGCGACGTACGACGTACAAGAATTGGGTCAAGTTTTGGAATGTAGATGTCTATTGGCCAAGCATCCTAATGAACTGATCTGATCGCATTCGCCTCTCGCCATTCTGCGACGTACGACGTACAAGAATTGGGTCAAGTTTTGGAATGTAGATGTCTATTGGCCAAGCATCCTAATGAACTGATCTGATCGCATTCGCCTCTCGCCATTCTGCGACGTACGACGTACAAGAATTGGGTCAAGTTTTGGAATGTAGATGTCTATTGGCCAAGCATCCTAATGAACTGATCTGATCGCATTCGCCTCTCGCCATTCTGCGACGTACGACGTACAAGAATTGGGTCAAGTTTTGGAATGTAGATGTCTATTGGCCAAGCATCCTAATGAACTGATCTGATCGCATTCGCCTCTCGCCATTCTGCGACGTACGACGTACAAGAATTGGGTCAAGTTTTGGAATGTAGATGTCTATTGGCCAAGCATCCTAATGAACTGATCTGATCGCATTCGCCTCTCGCCATTCTGCGACGTACGACGTACAAGAATTGGGTCAAGTTTTGGAATGTAGATGTCTATTGGCCAAGCATCCTAATGAACTGATCTGATCGCATTCGCCTCTCGCCATTCTGCGACGTACGACGTACAAGAATTGGGTCAAGTTTTGGAATGTAGATGTCTATTGGCCAAGCATCCTAATGAACTGATCTGATCGCATTCGCCTCTCGCCATTCTGCGACGTACGACGTACAAGAATTGGGTCAAGTTTTGGAATGTAGATGTCTATTGGCCAAGCATCCTAATGAACTGATCTGATCGCATTCGCCTCTCGCCATTCTGCGACGTACGACGTACAAGAATTGGGTCAAGTTTTGGAATGTAGATGTCTATTGGCCACAGCATCCCAATGAACTAATTGTATCGCATTCGCCTCGCGGCATTCTACGACGTACGACGTACAAGAATTGGGTCAAGTTTTGGAATGTAGATGTCTATTGGCCACAGCATCCCAATGAACTAATTGTATCGCATTCGCCTCGCGGCATTTTGCGACGTACGAGAATTTGGTTAAGTTTTGGAATGTAGATGTCTATTGGTCACAGCATCCTAAGTGGATAAGGATGAGTTTATGGCTTATTAATTTGGATTGCATTAAAAAAAAACACGATAAATCCCGTAAAATTAGTTTTATCTTTTTTGGTAGAGCCATGCTACAGCCATATTGCAGCACGTATGAGTCGGCTCGACCGGGGTAGGGCCTCGCTCTCGCAGAATACCAGTGTGAAATGTGTTTCGTAATAGTGTAGAGAACCTGAGACCATTTTTTACTGAAAACGAGCCATTCTGCATGTACTATACGCCGAGTATTCACTTACCATAGGATGGACTGTGTGATCGTTTGTCACACTGTAAAAAATGGAGATAGATGGAGAAATTTGCAACTATTTGATATCGGCGTCGTTCTGCACTGTTTCGCGTGAATGTCCCGTAGGACGTTATAAATGGATACAAATACTATAGTTCTAGTTTTATTTTTAGGTGTTCTTTATATCCAAAGAAGACTGTCTGCCCTACGATCGGCCTCCGATGTCGAAGCACATGTGGTGGAATCCGGACCCGCCGGATATCGACAAACTTAATTACATGCAGAACTGGAAACAAAAGACGTACTATTTTACAATACTCTTATTTATTCTATTTTACTAGCCGACTTGGAAACAATTAGAATGCATGTTTTTATATGTATGGAACGCTGTTGCCTTGTCAATTGTGAATCGAATTGGATGATTATTTTTGGAGAAAATATTAACTTTTTAACGTAACTATTTAGACGAAATTGATCCTTTTGAGTAATATCTCGGTCCTCAAAATCTTCTTCTTTCTTCTTTTTTTTTAAAAACGTTACCACCACACTAGGATTTTCTCCTGTATCGTGGAGGCAGTTTACAAACATAAATTGCACAAGGACAAACATCCAGACACGGAACAATTATTTGTAGGCCATACAAATACTTGTTCCGTGCTGGATTCGAACCCGCAGCCCCCAGCGCAACAACTTATTGCTAAGCCACTGCGCCACGGAGCCGTCAAAATGGTAAAACAATTTAACTCTTTATAAAAAGCCGACTTCAATGAACAAAAAAGAATGAAATAATCTCACATTGTGAAGTCGTACATTTGATTCTTCTATACACTAACGTCTTCGATGCCTCGTTGGTCTAGTGGTTGTAGTAGTGCGACTGCTGATCATGAGTCCCGGGTTCGAACCCCGAGTCGGGCCAAAAAAGTCGTTATTAAGCTTTTCTATCAAGAAATTCTCAGTAGCTGCCCGGAGTCAGGAAGTTAGTCCTGCGCCTGATCTCTCTCCGGTCGTGTCGGTTTACCGTCCCATCGGACTATGAGAGTGAAGGAATAGAGAGTGCACCTGTGCTTGCGCATACACTTGGGCACTATAATTCTGTCCTGCACTAATGGCTAGTCTCCTTTGAGACTGGCCGCCGTGACCGAAATTCGGTCTGGAGGACACTGTTACGCAGATTTCAGAGTGTGAAATTATTTTATTCTTTGAGATCTTTGAAGTTCCGTAATTGCGTTGCGTAAATTTAAAAATTTAAAATTTGACATAATATCTTTCTTCTGGATGTATGATTCCGATATAACGCGGAGTACATATAATAGTGAAAATTCAGTAAAGTGTTCCTTTTTGACTTTCGACAGAAGGTTCGTATTTACTTTTCATTCTTCTATACCCCTCTACAAAAAGCATTAATACATACTTTATGTTTCTAATTCAACTATATTTTGCTCAATTGAATTTTCGGAATAACCCCACATAAAGTCCAGTGGTTCTAAACATTTAAGGCACCGCCACGATAGCGCACCTTGCGTTTCCGTGGTTGGACAGTTATTATGGCTAGTTATGAGGTTTCTTTAAACATTTATAACAGGTAAGCGAAAATAAAAATTTTACATTTTTTGTGCGTTTCTTTATATATTTTTAATGTGTCAATAGTATCCGAATTCGGGATTTTTCAAATATTTAAAAGCTTATAACTCCGAAGATATTAACGTAATCGTAAAAAGTCATGGATACCTTTTTTATTCACATTTTATCAAAAAAAAAAAATGTCCCGTTTGAAAATAACAATTCCTTGAAAATTAAAAAAATCGGTTCAAACAATATGTCACCGAGTTGCCCCATGGCAACATGCATTTATATCAGCAGTGGGACAATTTGAAGAGAATCGCATAAAAACATTGAGGTGGAATAGTTTTCGGTACTCATGCGCCGATTCCTCCTGGACTATATTTATATATTTGGCATAGCGGTGGGTACTCCTTGTCCATCCCCGTTGGGTAAATTTTGGAAGGTCTCTATCCAAAATAACAATTTATGCTGACGAAATATTGACAGCCACTGGAAACTACAATGGAAAAGTAGTTCGATAGTCCATTAATTCGTAATTAACACTGTGGGGTATTTCCGGTAAAAAAAACGCATAAACAATAGTTAGCTAATCTTAACCTATAAAATAAAGCTTAAAAAACAATTATCTGTCATAAAATCAAACAATCATTAAGATTACTTAGCAAGTTCCTAAGATAATGAACGCGGGGTAATTTCGAAAAAAACGTAAAGAGTTGAAAAAGCTGTTTCCACCGAAATGTTAACTTTGCATGCGCACTATTGAGACTGAGTGAAACTGAACTGAAACGAGTGAAGCGAGGGAGACAAATGAGATGTCGTCTAGCCTAATGTTACCAGAGCAAAAAATATTCCCTAGTCAAGTCGTAATTTGTAAATATCGAAATTCCCCCATTTTCGTAATAACCTCAAAGCATCTTATATGTTTTTTATCGGATCAGGACATCGATCACTAATAAAAAACTAGAGAGGCACAATCCCATGCAAGAGTTCTCTAAAAACTGTCGCCAATTGTTTTGACGTAATTCTAGTTAAAATAAATAATAATGTCAAATGTTCGAGTGGGCGCTCATTCGGTAAGGACATTTTTTGTCATTGATTGTGTATCTAGTTTTTTATTAGTTATCGATGGATTAGGAGAATAGAATAGAAAATAATTTTTTATTCAATATAGATCACATGTGTAATTCTTATTGAAAGTCATTTTTTACTTTACCACTGGTTCGAAAAAAAACCTCTGTCCTGGAAAGAACCAGCAAGAAACCCAGCGGGACTTTTTTTTAAAGCAAATTTTACAATAATAGTTGTACAAACTATATAAGTACAAGAGATAGTAAGCGACATCGTTGTTCATCATCAAGATTCTTAATCGACGATTGATGTAGATGTCTATGGGTTGCAGCATCCATTTACCATCAGGTGGATTGAATAATATATTATTCAATGAAAAGGAAATTGTCGAAGATATTTAATTTTTTTTAGCATGTATCTATCGGAATGCCACAAATTCATGGATCCGGTGAAATTCTATCGCACGGAGACCGGACCAGCGGTCTCCATCGCGACCGGCTGGTGTGTACAGCGTGTTGACGCTGACTACCACGTCGCCTGGGTGAAGACCCTGTGTGGAGAACAGCCTATTTACTACGAGCGGTGTCTTCTAGCACCAGGTGGGCAAGCAGTCTGTAGGATATTCTGCTTTTCAAATAAAAAATAGGCTGTTACTTTTGATACAGAATTCTCTTTAAATCTTTAAACGTAGCGAAAGACTGATAAAGACAAGAAGGCAAATATGACCTTTTATTCTTTATCAGTCTTTCATACCTGTTGTTGAATACAGGAATGAGTCAATAGATATATTTCCTGAGATTTAATTACCCACCCTATATAAAGAGGTAAATTGGTAAGCTCAAAGCCTAGCACTGGTAATTCTGTCTTATTACTAGTGTGAAATTCGGGTTCGTTATTTTCGAGTAGCTTATACAGGCTGTTTGGTATGTCGATGCAAAGTCTTGAGGGGCGGGAAGGGGGGAGGGGAGACAATTCACCTCTTGGGGCACGTTTTTGAGCAGGTTAAAGGTAACTATGATAACTAATGACTAAGAATATTTACCTAGATATCGTGAAAATTATGATTTTTGGCAAATAGCCCAAAATTTGATATTTAATCGTTCATAACGAATAAACAGGCTACAATCAGTACATAAAATCTCGTTTTTTATCTTAGCTTACTGTGTATTTAATCGACAAACACTAATGCCGTCCTGTGTATGTACCTTTTTTATGAATTAAACTCAAAAGATGCAGATGTTGTTTTATATAATGGGTGTGACAAACGAGCACACAGTACACCTGATGTTAAGTGGATGCTGTGGCCCATAGACATCTACATTTTATCTTCGATTAAGAATCAAAATGCAAGTGCGTTGTCACCCTTGAGGACTACGACGGAATGTCTCGTTTCCAGTAAAAAGGGTCTCCGACAAAACACAGAAGCATTGAGCTGCTATATTACGCTGGTATTCAGTGAGAGCGTGGTACTTCCCCGATCGAGCCGACCCATACGTGCTACAACTATACTACTAATATAGCTGCAGTATGGCTCTACCACGTAAAAAATTGTCCATATTTATCTCACTATACAGGAAAATTGGTAGCATGCGCCAAGTGAATTACCTTGCATTGCTGATCCCCGTGCAATGGGTTTTTCCGAATGAATATACCGCCATTTGTACCACCGCTTCTTAGGCATTGTTTTTCATTTGGCCTTCCTTAAAGCTCTTTAGATCGTCATAATGTACACCGAGTAGTAAAAATAAGCGGGCGTTAAAATAAAAGGCCTTCAGAGATATTATTTAGTAATAAGTAATAACCTAAACACACTTTTCAGAATAAAAGGCTTTAAATAACAAAGGTTCACAGAAATACATGATGATGGTGATGGTAATATTGATGGTAAAATTGTGAAAAAGCTCAAAGTCGCTCAGCGAGCTATGGAGAGGGCTATGTTCTAAGTTTCTCTGAGTGATAAATGTCTAAATAAGGATGTTGATGCAATAATTTAGAGCAATTGTTATTTTATGATAATATTTTTTCAAGGTTCTTGAGTGGGGCGGCCTTGTAATCTGTAACTACACCGATATAATTACCCGGTAAGAGATGAAGGAACTCGATGCATGCATGTGGCTCAGGACCGTGCTTTGTGGCATTCCTAATAGGAACCTTAAGCTCAGCAACGGACTTGTGAAGGGCTGTAATCATAATGATACTGATGATAATACGTAATCGATACCAACGTCGGTGGACTGTTCAAACTGTATATGTGTTGGACGTTGGACGGTGACATAACTCATACTGTAAAGTGAGGACGGTCTCAGGTTGTGTACAATCACCATATGAAACACAGCAGCATTAAGCTACTATTTTACGCTGGATTTATTGGTTTACGCGAGAGTGTGGCCCTTCCACTGTCGAGCTGACCCATTCCTGCCGCAATCATAATATAGCTCCAGCGTGACTCAACTAAGTAATCCCTTAAGCACGTCAGAAAAATACCAAGTTGTAGTCAACCCACACAAATGCCGCATTAGATTTAAGAGAAAGTACAGTAAGTCGTCTCCACTTTTGACAATAATCGTATCTAATATACCAGGTTCAAAACCGAAGCAACTGTCCATGTTCAAATCGGCCCCGAAACCGGTACGTGACCGTGTTTGCACACTACGCACCATCAGGGACTTGGAGATAGCGTATCGAAGCGTTAAGGCGGCAAAACACGTTGTAATCATAGGTGGCGGTTCTCTTGGATGTGAATTGGCTTGGCATTTGGGTAGGATGAGTAAGTATAGACTAGCTATAGCACTATTATCACAGTATTGTTTTATTCTAGAATAAGGGTAACAAACGAGCACATACTCCATCTGATGGTAAGTGGGTGCTGTGGCCCAAAATGCAGATGCGTTGTCACCCGTGAGGACTAAGATGGAATGCCTCTTGTCCAGTAAAAAAGGGTCTCCATTTCCCCACACACATCATACGAAACACGGTAGTATTAAGCTGCTATTTTAAGCTGGTATGCTGTGAGTGTGGTCCTTCCCCGGTCGAGCCGACCCATTCATGCTACAACTATACTACTAATATAACTGCAGCATGGCTCTACCACGTATTGCTCTACCGACCAAATGTGTGGGCCTATTTTGATGATTCTTAGGTCAATCGACCACGAATAAAATGTATCAAGGTAATTTTTAAATAAAACTAATTTTACGGATTTTATCGCGTATATTAACTTAATTTTATATTCCCGACGTTTCGGGTGCTTTCCAGCACCCATGGTCACGGGGGACTGAGTTGTTTGACGTCCTGCTGTCATAGTTAGCCCGGCTACCTTCAGTTTTTTAATATTAATTTTTGGTTCGATTTACGCAGAATGAGCTTACAGTATCTTGAAGTCTAGCAGTGGTATACTTGGGTTTGGATTTGATTTTATTAATTATGGGATCCTAAGCAGATGGCAGCACCCATCCATCTTCTCTATTGAAATTAGGATGTTTTCTAATTTCAATAGCCTCGCGAATCATCCTTGGGAGGAATCGGTGTTCTTTTGCGAGGATTTGTGGTCTATCAAATCTAATGTAATGACGGGGACGATCCTGAACATGTTCACAAACTGCAGACTTCCCGATACGTCGGTGCTTCACGTCAGCTATATGTTCTTTAACGCGGGTTTTAATAGATCTTTTTGTTTGTCCTATGTACGAGAGACCACATTCACAATCCAGCTTGTACACTCCTGCATCTTGTAGAGGGATATGACACTTGACGGATGGTAAAAATTGACCAATCTTCTTCAGCGGCTTGAAGTACGTTTTAATGGAAGCTCGCTTCAAGATGTAGCCAACCTTGTCTGTGACTCCTCTGACATAGGGTAGTACAGCAGGCACACGCTCGACTGTGGCTGGCTTCACTCGGTCACTGTGACGTAGGCGCGGGACCCGAAGCTTGTTGTCTTGCAGTACTTGCTCGACGTGCTGAAGCTCGGCGGCCAGATATTTTCTGTCACGGATCCCTCGTGCTCTCTGAAACAAAGATTTTCCCACGGTAGCTAACTGTGAAGGATGATGATGAGATTCACCATTTAAATATCGGTTGGTATGGGTGTTTTTTCTGTACACAGTATGACCAATAGTGTTATCAGGATTTCGGATGACTAAAACATCTAGAAAAGCTAGAGTATTGTTTGCCTCTAACTCCATTGTGAATTGTATTTTAGGGTTTATGGAATTAAGGTGGTTTAAAAATGCAGTTACTTTGTCAGATGGTAAGATTGTGAAAGTATCGTCTACGTACCGCTTGTAGAATCTTGGATTTACAGGAGCAGTAAGAAGGGCTTTCTCCTCAAAGTCCTCCATGAATATGTCGGCGACTACGGGAGATACAGGTGAGCCCATTGCCACTCCGTCTACTTGCATGTAGAACTCTTCTTTCCACAATAAATAGCCAGATGGATGGGTGCTGCCATCTGCTTGGGATCCCATAATTAATAAAATCAAATCCAAACCCAAGTATACCACTGCTAGACTTCAAGATACTGTAAGCTCATTTTGCGTAAATCGAACCAAAAATTAATATTAAAAAACTGAAGGTAGCCGGGCTAACTATGACAGTAGGACGTCAAACAACTCAGTCCCCCGTGACCACGGGTGCTGGAAAGCACCCGAAACGTCGGGAATATAAAAATAAGTTAATATACGCGATAAAATCCGTAAAATTAGTTTTATTTAAAAATGTGTAGTGTTCGCGTAAATATAAGAAATCAGTATCAAGGTAATGTTTAATTTTATAGAATCATAGTAGCGTTGTTGTCATTTGGTGGCAGTGTATGGTTCAACTGTACATTTCATGGCGTTATCATTTTATGCACAGAAATCAGATATCAGAAATGTTTATTTGCTTTAAACATGGTAGAACAAAGATCTTAATATAGTGATATGTCCTCATGTTTGACTTATAACTGTCATGCATATTTAAAAGTAGTTACATTTTAATGTACATAAAGTTAAAAATAAGTTAAAAGACTAAATATGAAACCAATGGTAAACGTGAATCATAGACAGAACTTTACATTACATTTATAAATTGTTTATAAATTGTATAATATTTTATGTCAAATTATTCAATTGATAAATAAAATAAACACAGAAAAGCTACATACAAACACAATTAAAATTCAAAAATCTCTTGGTCATCTAAGTATTCCTGGACTGAATAAAAGCACCTAGTCAAAAGCCAGGAATGTAACTTTCTTTTAAACAATGGTAATGGCAGAGCCTTGAAATTTGAATGAAGCTTATTGGATAGAAGCAAATATCGCTGTACTTTGACAATTATTTTGCTTACGTATTTACTTTAACCGCGATGGTCGCGAACTCATCAACATATTATTATAACATTTAACATAGCATAACATATTTAAATCTTACATTTTTTTTTACTTTTTTTTATTAAACTATTTTAAGAAATGTTTAGTTCAATACCCGATCAGGCAGTATAATACCTCTCGACGGTGGAACCATTTCATCTATTCCAAACGTAAAATACCGATGAGATGTCTGGTACTTGTACAAACTATCAATCCGCCGCCAAGCGTAACGGTACTAGCCAATCCTTCCAATGAGAGGGGCCCGTTTTTGGCAGTGGATTTTAACAAGTTGATGCAAAATAATACGAGGATAAGATCTCTCGTTTTAGTATTTTGAATACTGTTCTTCGTTAAATGTTTATGATGTATGACATAAATTAGTTGGTAGAAGAATGATTATAGTATGTATGTTGATGGCACCGGTATAGCATGTTTATATCGTAAAATATAAGTTTAAATATTGTATGATTGTTATCAAATAAAAAAACAGAAATTTAAAATTCTCTTAATGCAGTGCCGCGTGAGATAGTTTGTACAAGGCAATAAGGAATATAGGATAATATGTAAAAAACTTCGCGGCCACCGAAGTAATCATCACGAATATAACAGACCGAAAACTATGCACAGACTAACAAGAAAAAGATTTTGTTACATAAGTTTATAAAAAAATCTTTTTTTGTCAGTATGTTTTTTTCAGTTCGTAATTCAGTAAACAAGCGCACAGTTCACCTGATGATAAGTACATGATGTGGCCCATAGACACCCAAACTTATCCTCGACTAAGGATGCCTTTTTATCAGTCAATATAATAAATACGGAAAAATACGTAAATTTATTTTATTCAATAAACAGTGTGATATCTATAGACTTAGCTTTTTAACAGATAAAATGGAGAAGGAGGTGGATCCGGAAAAGCAGCCGCTGGAGATAGTGCACATATACAAGGACAAGGGAATCATGGCCGGCGTGTTGCCCGAGTACCTCGGCGAGTGGGCCGCAGAGAAGATTAAGAACGAGGGTGTCACTGTTAAACCTAAGAGTAAGGCCAGTATTTAGACCAATCCCAGCATGAGCTCGCTCAAACTCAAGCTCCACAATGTTATAATTTGAATCTAGACTTAGAATATTACGTTACACAAATTTGGTCATTATGAAGTTTGAGTTTAGGAGATTGTCTATGTGTCTTAATTTTAGTATTATCGCAAACAAACAAAAACCTTTTAGCTTGGTTAAGGAATCAGAACAATCAGAATCAGAGCAAAGAAAGAATTATACCTAAATCATTTCGCGTCTTATAATTTACAATCGTTTCAAAAGTATCAAGATATATTTTATTTTGTGATTTAATATAGTTTCAATAGTTAAGTTACGGAAAACAGTCTCAAATTTTTTATTAGTTGATATCCTGTGATTATGTTTATAAAAAAAAGAGACCCAAATGGGATCCTTGAGGGACACCAGAAAGGATTTCGATTTTAGATTAAAGTTTATGCCTTGAAGATACATATTCAATCAAGCTATGCTTATGTATATTTTAAGTCTTACACACACTAACTTTAATCTATAATAAAAGAAACGACAAATAACATTATTCTCATTTTGTTCCAGCTCAAGTCTACGATGCTTTCCAGTCTCCGGACGGTAGGCTGGAGCTGACACTTTCTGATGGATCCTCTCTTGTCACCGATTATGTACGCAATATGATATAAACTAGTTAACAAAAAATATAAAAATATTAATTTTTAGTTTCACTTTGCTTATGGATAATTGATTATTGCGTATAGGGGACCTATATATATATATATATATATAGGTCCCCTATACGCAATAATAAATTATCCATATATATATATATATAGGCTTTGATGTGATTATTTGAGGCCCTATATATATATATATATATACGTAGGCGGTCCCATAATGAATTGGCCTAACTATGAACCAATGAAGGAAATGAAACGAAACCAATTTTATTTTTCAATATAATCACCATGAATACTAACACAATTCTGACATCTGTGAATCAACATCTCTAAACCTTTATAAAAATAATCACATTTTTTATCCTCAAAATGACTGAAGACGGCCGCCTGCAACTCTTCATCGCTTGAAAATTTTCTTCCTCTTAAGTCCCGCTTTAAATTTGGAAATAAATAATAGTCGGACGGGGCCATGTCTGGACTGTAAGGTGGATGTTGAACTTCTGTGAACCCGCATTGACGAATTGCATCCTTCGAAACACCAGCGGTATGAACAGGGGCGTTGTCATGGAGCAACAGGACACCTTTAGACAGCTTGCCTCTTCGTTTTTCCTTTATCTTGTCTCGTAATTTATATATTAAAGAAACATAATATTCGCCGTTCACGACTGTATTACGTTCTTTAAAATCCACCATCAAAATGCCTTGAAAATCCCAAAATATTGTGCACATTAGTTTTTTAGTCGATTGTTGCACCTTTGCCTTTCTAGGGGGCTTTTCACCCTTATAACGCCATTCCATTGACTCGCGCTTGCTTTGTGGATCATAATACAAGATCATAGTTTCATCACCAGTCACTAGCCGCTTGATCACAGTCTTTGGATTTTCGCCACAAAGATCCAAAAACTCCGAAGCGCAGCGCACTCTTTCCTGTCTCTGTACCGCTGAAAGAAGTTTCGGTACCCATCTTGCACTCACTTTTTTCATGTGAAGATGTTCATGGAGCGCGCGATGAACGGTACTCTTAGAGAGCCCAAGCCTTGCTGCAATTTCTCTAATCTTCAAACGGCGGTCACTCAGAACCTCCTCTTCGATAAGAGCAATCGTTTCAGGAGTGAGCACTTCCACAGGTCGACCGTCGTGGCCAAAGTCTTCGACGGTTTCTCTCCCGAGGCGAAACTCTTTCACCCAATTTTTCACTGTGCTATAGGAGGGGGCAGACTCCTTATACACGCCATCCAATCGTTCTTTTATTTGGGCAGGGGATAAACCTTCTTTAAACAGAAACTTTATGACACTTCGATACTCAGTTTTCGACATTTTGAAAAAATACGCGACTCTCGTTATTCAAATGCCTGTTAAACTAAGACTAAGCATTTCATGTCGATGCATGTTTCTTATATTAAGTGCACGATAAACGTACTATTTAATGCAACACAACATGTAGCGACATGTCGCGTTGAACTATATCAGGCCAGTTCATTATGGGACCGCCTGGTATATATATATATATATATATATATATGGCCTCAAATAATTTCCAGAACCTTTCACTGTACAAACATCTAGAATGTTTGAGTACATACCGGTCACGAATGACTAGGTATCGATAGTTCTAGAAAGTTCTTCCATAGAAAATTCTAGAAGGATTTTGACTCTCATAGTTCTGCTACTCGATACCAGAGGGCGCTAGTGGTAACTAGTGTTGCCATATACCAGGCATTAATGGTGGCGCTCAACAATAGCTTCCAATTTTGAATAATATAGCAGATACCATCATTGTTAAAGTTCACTAGAATTTCTGTTCTCACGAGTGTAACGTTTCCCTCAAGGCTTTCGTGGCAGTGGGTGCTGAACCTCGCGTGGAGTTGGCGGAGCCCTCGGAATTGGAGCTGGATGACGTAAATGGCGGATTCCTGGTCAACACCGAGCTGGAGGCGAGGACTCATCTTTATGTGGTAAGTCTAATTATCATTATACTGCTATATATATATATATCATAATATGGTGATTGACCTGAGACCCTTTTTAATGGTAGCCGTATAGAGGCGACAGAGATCCTGATAACAATGAAAAATTAAAAACTGTGATAGCCCACCCACCTGCCAAGTGTGGCATCTATGGAAAATATTCCCCTATTAGGCATTCTATTGAGAAGACTATGTTCAGCAGTGAACTTTGAGATTGTTATTAGGTATTCCATTTTAATCCCGAGCCTTCTCTGGTCGAGCCGACCATACATACTGCAGTTATAATACGCTACAGCGTAGCTCTACCACGTTATAAAATTCCTTACGCGTTCCCGTTAGGTGAATTATTTGGGGCACGTGCTCAGGCAAGCTCAGCTCAGGTAAGAACTCCTAAAACTCATTATGATGGAAAAGTTACCGAAAGAAGAGGCGTCGGTCGCAGAAAAAAGTCATCGTTATGTAACATCCGAGAGTGAACGGGAATCGCGAGTGCCACCGAACTGTTGGCATCGCGAAGAATAGAGAGTTCACTAAGCTGACTGCCAACCTTCGCTAGTCGGAGAGGCACCAGAAGAAGAGGAAGTATTATCTGTGGAATTTGTTTGTGAACGTATTGCAAAAGGCATTGCATCCACTTCCTGGTTAACTTTTGACTCTGTCTGTGACGCGCCCGCAAGAAAACAATAAGTTAACTGTGACAAAACGTGGAAGCCACCGCACTGAGTAGTCGAATTTTTCCCACCGCACTGCAATTTAATTATTTCATCACCTTAGTGGAATCCTTTACAAATCCGCCAAGACGAGGAATTTGGAGAACACGCTAAGTGTATTGCACGTCTTTGTCATATATGAATGAAGTATTTACCACAGATAGTCCAAATTTTGTATTTTTAGGTTATATTATAATCACCGCTTAATTCTGTCTCTTTCCGCATATCTATATAAATAAAATGATAGAGGTTTGCAGTTGTGCGTGAATCACGAAAAAACTATTGGATAGATTTCAATTAGGTTTTCTAAGTTTTATTTCTCAGACACTTGGTAAGGGCCGAAAAAACTATTGTGATATCTTCATTTAATGTAAAGTTATTAAAGTTTTAAGAAACAACGATTTTTATAAGCACTACGTGTTCAGTGATGTGTGTAAGCAACGCGGACGATGTCGCGGGTATCAGCTAGTATCCAATAAAACTACAGTCCACTCTCTCATTTTTATATAATTTATGTGTTGCATTTTGGTAAAGACTTATAGTTTGAGAAAGCCTCAATTACCTGTCATCCTCGCCGCATTCAGAGAATTAAAAACAATAAAATAATTTCACACTCGGAAATTGGAACTTACTTTTGCTTAGACACTTTTTCCTACAACCGACTTTAAGATGTTAAATTATTTTATTCTTTTGTTCTTTGAAGTCGGCTTTTACTTTTAATTAAATTTTTTTTTGAAATGTAAAAGTTGTTAAACAAAAAGCAAACATTGTTTATAGAGAATTAAAAAAAGAGAAACAAAAAAGTAGTTATTACGATCTTTCCCTTAACCTTTCCGAGTGATGCTATTGACTCAGTGACTTACAAGCTAATACTAAAAATTTATGTACAAAATTTGCAAAAAGCATGTTGGCGAACTTTAAATGTCCTCAAAATATATTATGTATTTTATCCAACATTCATGACGATATTTTTCTTCAACTTGGAGTGATTTTTTTTTATAGGATAGGGTGACAAACAAGCACACAGTCCGCCTGATGGTAAGTGGATGCTGTGGCCCATATACATCTACATCTATCCTCGATTACGAATCAAAATGCAGATGCATTGTCACCCGTGAGGACTAAGATGAAATGCCTCGTTTCCAGTAAAAAGGGTCTCCTGTTCTCTACATTCACAGCTATATTACTTATATAGTTGTAGCACGAATGGTTTGGCCCGCCTGGGAGATTTCAATCTTCAGTCTGTGGATTTTGAGGAGATGGTTGCACTGCCAACTAACCTCCATCACATCCTTTTGCGCCTTTCTTGGAGACGTTTCATACGATACTTATAATAAGACGACGTGATATAGTTTCTAGATTTTTCTTTTAATGAAGTGATGCTGCTGACGATGCTGTAGCCCATAGACATCTACATCAATCCTTAATTCAGAATCAAAATGAACATGGGGTATCTTACTAAAAGCGAAAAGGATTTTATTTTACTCACTGCTGTGCCACGGCTGTTCCATGCTGGTATTCTGTATTGAGCGTGGACCTTACCCGGTCAAGCCGACTAATTAGTTTTATCTATTTATTGTATTTACTTGTGGTTTTGTGTGACACATTACAGCACATCCACCCAGCAAGAGTGTAACAATATCAAATAAAGCTAGCCTTAATTTCTAATACCTTAATTCTAATACTAATATTTATATATTTTTTATACATTACAGGTATTATTGTAGTATTTACTACACGTTACATTACTCTATTTATTTATTTACTTCAATTTTACATAGTATTCATCTAATTTATAGTAATATTTCTTAATCAGAAAGCTATTTAGTGCTATCACAAATTTCTTCTATTCTTCCATCTCTCGTATATTTTATAATTTAACTGCCATGGAATATGGTCCAGAACTGTATAAAGTGGTTTTAGGCAATATTAATTTATTTCTATTCCTAAGTTGTATATTATATTTATTTATATTATTATTACCAGCTTTTTGAAATATATTTATTTATTTATTTATTTAAAACTTCATATACACATGTGGTATATAGGCGGACTTAATGCCTAAGGCATTCTCTACCAGTCTACCTTGTAATTAAATATATAGATTAGTAAGAAAATATATATCTATATATTTTCTTACTAATCTATATATTTAATTACATGATTCTAATATGTATAAAGATGTAACTGTTAATATCTTGTATTGTATAAAATATGGTCTACAGCTTTCCCTAGAGCCAATATTTACTAGAATTCTTATACATTTTTTTGAGCGATAAAGAGTTTTTGGATGTCACACGAGCGCATACGCATTGTAGGCCATTTTGGCTGTATTTGTATATGTGTACCTTTTTAACTCATTTAGCGTATACATATATAAATCTGGACAAGCTGCAGCGTGGTGCTATCACGTTATAAAACTCCTTACGCGTTCCTGTTATACGAAGGCTGGAGACGCGGCCAGCTTCTACTCGCAGTGGAAGGACACTCGGCTGCGCCTGGAACACTACCTGAACGCGCAGGAGCTGGGCCACGTGGCGGGCTCCAATATGACCGGCTACTGGCAGGCTTGCAACATAGAGCCACACTTCTGGTTGCGCTTCGAGGACGAACTGCAGGTGGAGGTGTGTATATTCTGTATTGATACAGTGGCAACGTGTATCATTAACACGTTAGCTTGTTTCAACTTCTTGCCTACTAAGCGTGGCAACTATGGCAAATATTCCCCTATAAGGCATTCTATGAGGGAGGCCTATGTTCAACATAGTGGAATTTCTATGGGTAATCAGCTATTCCATCTTAATTCTCATCGGTAACATGTCTACACTGCACTTCTGGCTATGTTTCCAGGACGAACTGCAGATGGAGGTGAACATCAGGCATCTACATCTTAATGTTTATCACAGTTGAGAAGATAATCATGTTTACGCTTTGTCGTGGCGTAAAATATTTATGGAACGGCGCAACGTAGATTTCTAGTGGCCATATTGTCAGATTATTGAACAAAAGGTTAATGTAGTGCGCGGGCCAACTACGTAACGTCAACATTAAGGCCTGAATTCCTCCTACGCTGACGTCGGTTGCGTACGGTCAGTCGCGTACGCGTACGTAGCAAACAACGCGCCGCTGTCGTCAGCGTCGTAGTGTGGGGCTATATAGAACACAATGTATATTAGTACACGCGACCAACGTACGCGACCGACGTCAGTGTAGGAGGAATTCAGGCCTTAATGTGACAGGTGCGTCAATGTGCTTATGTGTTTGCCGGAATAGCGTTGCAAGCGTGGCAACTATGGTCTATGTTCAGCAGTGGACTTATATAAGGTGTAATGAAATATTTTGTAATAATCTATTTTGAATAAAAATTATTCAATTTAATTCCATTCGATTCCATTCCATTGCATTTAATTCTATTCTTACGCTGCCACAAGACGCCATTGGTATCATGGTAACAACTTAATTCTCAGGTGGTAGGCGAAGTAGGAGCGTGCATGCCTACGATTGGTATATTCAAGCAGTGCACTACCGAGGAGATGGCGAAGAAAACTCAGGCCGTTGAAAGTGCAAGCGGTGAACGACCATGTTACAAAAAGTATAAAGTTCTATTTCTTTCAATTAATATCAATTTGTAGAGTAGTTGAGTTGATTGGAAAGTATATGATAAAAAGTTTACGAGCTGTCAAAACAAAACTGTGCTGCAGCTATATTACGCTATAGCCTGGCTCTAACTCGTAAAACAAGCGAATTTGTCTTAACCATGTAATAATGTCCTCCATAACGAACTTCGGTGATGGCGGTCAATCTCAACTTACACTAACTATCTACGCAGGTTAGGATTATAGTGCACGAGTGTGTACGTGGATGAATCACTGCCTACTTCCTGACTCCTGGCTGCTGCTGAGAATGTCTTGACAGAAAGATAATTGATTTTGGGCTTGCACGTAATAGCAACTTGAGACTACAAGATCAGCAATTGACTTTATGCCTATTATACTGTACAGAACAGTGGTAATAATGTAATATAATAATTAATTAATTAATAGAATCTAGCGTTACTTTGCAGAAATTATATTAAAGTTAGTAAAAATTACTCCGCCCATATTAGCTCAATAAAATAAAATGATGTGTCTTACAAGTCGCGGCACGTAAGTCTAGCGCTGAACGAAACGTGGAGGGGACGCGCAGGAATTGAATTGCACGAATGCGACTGGAGGGCCAATTAGCGCGTGCGAACGGTCACCGCTAGACTTTCGTGCCGGTACTTACACCTAATTTGAAGAGCACCTCCCACTTTCCCTCAATTGCATGCACTATCATCATCATTACTAATCCCAGTACCACTACTCCCAATACCACAACACTGGAAATGAGGCATTCCATGTTAGTCCTCACGGGTGACAACGCATCTACATTTTGATTTGTAACAGAGGATAGATGTAGATGTCTATGGGCCGCAGCAACCACTTACCATCAGGTGGACTGTGTGCTCGTTTGTCACCCTTATCCTATAAAAAAAAACTACGGTCAGCCACTGCAGAATCTATTTCACCTGAGGATGCCTCGTGTAGAGGCGAAACACATATCGTACTATCTGCTGTGGTGAGTCTTTCCTAGTTTGTGGAGTTGATAGTAGTGGTGCTGGGATTAGTGATGACGGAAATAGTGCACGCAATTAAGAGAGGGCTGGAGATGCTCTTCAAACTAGGTAAGACAGATCATTTTATTTTGTTGAGCGGATATGGACAGAGTAATCTTTATTAACACTAATAATTAATTACTTTTGCTCTTTATTTATTTTTAAGGACCGACGAATACAAGAACAGATACAAACGCGGAATGTTAATGTATCTGCGCGACGAGACAGTGGTGGGGTTTGTCTTCTGGAACATGCCTCCCATTGAAGACCGGAGCGCCGTTGCCACTGAGGTGATGTGTTTTGAATCATGTCGATTATAATAATTTTCCATAAGTCTGTCTGTTAGAAACACTAGTCTTGAAACATTTTTATGTTGGCACCCTTGCTAACTATGCATATGCTATATGGTGACGTAAACAACAGGCTTAGAACTGTCATGCTGTCTTTTTCATGTGTCTTTTTTAACGCAAGTTATATACCTTTTGTACTAGTTTTATTGAAGTGTCGCCTTGTAAATTATCTTAATATACAACATGTAAAGTAATTAAACCACAACCTCAGACACCCCAATTAGAATATTATGTTATAATTATAATACATACACTGACTTTTTAGTTAAACATGTTTATGCATTGATTATTAATTAAATTAGTTATACTAATTCCTGGAGAATGTTGTGGTCACAGTACAAATCCACGAACGCACACAGTCGCACACGTGATATAGGTCATATGAGGATCTTGCTAGTCTAGTAGGTATTCGCTGGCGTTCGAGAAGAGTTAACGCCGCCGCCGCTTGACACAACTATAGGTAGGTATTAATGCCGAAACACCGACAATACACGATTGTTTACGTTAAAAAAATACCTACCTATGAACATCAACCGATGTCAGAACTCCGAGCATCGAGTTGTTTGTTTAAGTCTAGTAAACATTTTATTGCATATTTCCATCACACTTTTCAGCCTTAGGACTGTCGACTCTGAATAATTTTATTTATTGATTGTGATACAATGCCAATAGGCAATATTATTTCAAAGTGTTATGCATTTGCATTACGTTTTAATTGTACTTGTAAATAATAATGAACTGCTAAAAATAAGAGGCGATACGACAGCATAATTCAAAGACGGCGTGTTTAAAACATGTGAATTAAGATTACAATAATTACTAAAATAAAACAATGATTTAATACGTCCCCACAAAAAAAGTCAAGAGGCGTCAAATCAGCTGATCTGGGAGGTCACTGGGCAGGGCCGCCGCGACCGATCTAGCGCTCTCCAAACTCTGTATTTGTAAAGACTTTAACGTGCTTGAAATAAGGTTCATTTTTCTTTATTTTGTATTGAATAACGGAATTTGTATTAATATAAATAAAACTGCATTTTTAAAAGTCTTAGAAATCGATTCATTAAACGATTCTGAATTAACTACCCCCAATTCATTTCTGAAGTCTTTACTTCCAACTAGTGGGATGCGGGAAGTAAAAACTGTGTAAGAACCTCCAAAGGAGGCGGAGTTTTAGCCGAAATAAGAATTTAATTTTTTTTGGTTTTTGGCCATTTTGACCCCCTAGGAATGTAATGAGAACTTTTTGCCCCTGTTCAACCATGACCCCCATGACATCCTCTACATGATAGGCTATTCAAACTGACCTAAAGTTCGAGTAACACCCCAACTAATTTCTAAGGACTTTACTTCCAATTACTTCCAAATAGCGCGAGCTTCCCCAGCTTCCTGTTACACACTTCTATCCCTTTTCACAAAACCGATCCCACAGATTGCGGAAAAGCAAGAGGAATGATGTAAGACATCTGAAACATCTGAAACAGGAGATGGGCAGCAGTATTTTTCTGATATCAACTCATAACAAGTCAGAAAAAAACTTCATTTGTCAACCCGCCTGCCAAGCGTGGCAACAATGGTAAATCTCTTATAAGGCAATTATCGGGGGGGGGGGGGCTATGTACAGCAGTGGACTTTTATAGGCTGTAAAGGAATTGTTACCTTGTTATGCAGATATTGCGGGCGAAACCCTCGTACAAGGACATCGATCTGCTGGCCGAGTTGCTTGGCTTTGTGGACACCAAGTGCGTGTACATGAAAGAGGAGGAACTGGTGGAACCGGGACCTTGTATAAAGAAGTAAGTGGTTGGAAGCGTGTAGGCTATTGCTTTCAGAATTCGATTATTTAATAACTGACTGCCTCGTTAGTCTAGTGGTTACTAAAGCGGCTGCTGATTGAGAGGTCCCGGGTTCAAACCCGGTCGGCCATAAAAGTAATTCCTTCAATAATTTCTCAGTAGCAGCCTAGACTTAGACAGTTGTCGGTGTTTCACTCCTATGCCTTGGGAAGTACGTAAAGTTGGTGCTACGCCTGATCTATCGCAGGTCGTGTTGGGTTACAGTCTCAACGGAATATAAGAGTGAGGAAATAGAGAGTGCACCTGTGCACTAAAGCTTATCCTGCGCAGATGACTGGTCTCCACTGAGAGGGACGCAGTGACCGAAAGAACAATGGCAGAAAAATAGTTGATCAAAATTATTGCGTCTAGTAATAACTTATATATAAAATGAGTGTAATTATTTTTCTATGATTTTTCAAATAAAAATCTATTTTAATTAAAGCCACAGAAAAAAAACAACATTTTTGGGAATATCAAATGACTTAAATCATTTTACCCCATTCAAGTGCTGCCATTTAATATATTCATACTATTTTCGTATACGCTTTGTAAGATTAACAACACAAACACAAAATATTGTTATATTAAGTTATTATTAGTAATAACTATACTATCAGTAATAATAAAAATAAAAGTGATATGGTTGAAAATAAGTCTCTTACAAAGAACTTTCTACAATAATACGTTATCTCAATCATACTACTATGTAAAAATTCCATTTAATGTTATGGAAACACTAGCTAAAACAAAATGCCATTGTTTTTTTACTATCTTAACGGCTCTGGGTTCTAGTCCTTTTGAGAATGTCACTGTATGACACAAATACCCTGTAGCCATTCCAGATAAATACATTTATAGTATGCAAATATATAATAGAGATACAATGATCTAAAAACTCTCAATTATGTAGGTAGGTACATTATGTTGACAATGTATTAAGCTAACATCAAACAACCACAGGACGCATGACTTTTTCCAAGTGACATAAGACACAACCTACAAAGGTTCAAATCTAAATATCTTCGTTTTGACGCCTTCTCAGGACAAAATTCTTTGACAGAGTTATTAAGGGACTGACGCTTAACATTTTAAGATATTTTTGATATATAGACGCTACCATTCCTTCTCAACTAATTTTATGTATGAACGTCTGCCATTGTTCTTTGATTTTGAAGACATTTTTTTTTGTAAAGGATAGGGTGACAAACGAGCCCACAGTCCATCTGATGGTAAGTGGTGACTGTGACCCATAGACATCTTCCTCTATACTCAATAACGAATCAAAATACAGATACGTTGTCACCTGTGAGGGCTAAGATGGACTCTTTTCCAGTAAAATAGATCTCCGGTTCTTACACTCAGGTTAAGCTGCTGTTTTACGCTGGTATTCTGTGAGAGCGTAGTACTTCCCCAGCGGGTGACAACCCTACCTACATATATTCTCGATTTAAAATCAAATGCAGTTGGATGCTCGGGATTTCTCTTTCACGCTGATATTTTGTGAGGTTTTCATCGTGTCAGCTGTCATGGTTTCTTTATCAACCAAATAAATTTTCATTTCAGTTGGAGAACATTTTAAGTGAATTGGAAGGCCAGTAATATTCCTGTGTTTTGAAGTAAAATTCTACCATTGTGACGAATGTCTTAATTTTGTACGACAATAAAATATTTTATTTTGCAACACGATATTTCATTTCAATATATTTAATAAGAACTAACTAGATCTCGGCAACAGCACCATATAATATAGAAACAGAAACAGAAACAGAAACTTTTTTATTCAATATATATTATAATATAATACTTATTGAAAGTCACTCTTTTGTATGATTACTACTGGTTCGAAAAAAAAACCTCTGTCCTGGGAAGAACTAGCAAGAAACCCAGCGGGACTTTTTTTAAATAACAGCTTACAATCATGTATGTTACACAAATTAAACACAACAAATTAGAAATAGCTTGGTAGCGATCACCTCATTTCCAGGGGTTATTATCATCTATAAATTCATTAATATTATAATAACCCTTTTTATACAAACTTAGTTTAATAAAGTTTTTGAACTTTGAGCAGGTCAAATTTTGTATATTTTCTGGAATTTTGTTGTAAGAGCGTATACATCGCCCAAAGAATGAATTACTGACTCGATGGAGTCGAGTAACTGGTACTACTAGCTTGTGTCTGTTCCTAGTATTTACAGAATGAATATCACTTATTTTTGTAAAACTACTTTTGTTTTTGTGTACGTACATTACATTTTCATAAATGTATTGAGAGGCCAAAGGTAATATATTAATTTCCTTAAATTTTTGTCGCAGCGACTCTTTAAGCTTTAAATCATAAATTGCTCTTATGGCCCTCTTCTGTAAAACAAATATAATTTCAGTGTCAGCTGCGTGTCCCCATAGCAAAATATCATACGACATTATGCTATGGAAATAGCTAAAGTAAACTAGTCTAGCTGTTTCAACACTAGTTAGACTTCTAATCTTTTTTACGGCATATGCTGCAGAACTAAGTCTGCTTGCTAGTTTTGATATATGGGGGCTCCATTGAAGCTTCGCGTCTAGTGTGATTCCAAGAAAAATGGTGGTATCTACAAGACTCAGTTTCTCCCCATTTAAAATTACATTAGTATTTAATTGTTTGACATTTGGAGTCATAAATTTCATACATTTCGTTTTAGTGCCATTTAAATGCAAATTATTAACATTGAACCAATTTACTAATTTAGATATAGCATTATTTACTTCGTCATATTTTAGCAATTGTCGACTTAATTTGAAAATTAAAGAAGTGTCATCTGCAAATAATACTATATCATGGTTATCTCCTACTATGTAAGGTAAGTCATTAATGTATACAAGAAACAGAAAGGGGCCGAGAATTGAGCCTTGAGGCACGCCCATTTGTACCATCGTTTCGGAAGAACTCATACCGTTAATGACAACTTTTTGCGTTCTCTTACTTAAATATGAAATAATTAATTTAAGAGCATCACTTCTTACACCGTAGTGTTGAAGTTTCCTGATTAATGTTTCATGGTGAACACAATCGAAGGCTTTGGATAGGTCACAAAATATACCCAAAGCATCCTGTGAATTCTCCCATGCATTAAATATATATTTAATCAGATCAACACCGGCATCAGTTGTCGAGTGACCCCTTGTGAAACCAAATTGATTTTTATGAAGTAAATTATTTATATTAAAGAAATTTAACATTTGATCAAGAATAATTTTTTCAAAAATCTTACTAAGTGTTGGTAGTACAGAAATAGGTCTAAAATTGGCGGGGTCTAATGTACTACCAGATTTAAATAAAGGTATTACATTACTATACTTCATTAAATCAGGAAACACACCAGATTCGATACTAGTATTAAAAATAATAGCTAAATGAGGCGCGATTGTATCTATTATAGACGCAATAACTTTAACGGAAATCCCCCACAGATCCGCAGTTTTCTTAACATCAATAGTTTTAAAATATTTTACAATATCTTTTGATGATACTTTATGAAATACAAAATTCTTTGTACACGCATTTACATTTTGTTTAAGTAATGATTTGGCGACCGCAGGAGAAGAATTCAGTGACTTAGTGGTTAATATCGGAATATCAGTAAAATATTTCTCGAAAACCATTGCAACGTCCTGATCTAATTCGGTTAATTTGTTACTAACACTTAACTGTTAGTTTGAATTGCGAGAGTTGATCTTACCAGTTTCGCTATTAATTATACTCCATGTCATTTTAATTTTATTGGAAGCCGTCTTAATTTTGTTGCTCAAATGCAAAGACTTGGCTATGGAGCACACTCTTTTAAATATTTTTGAATATTTTTTTACATATTCCCTAAATTCGACGCTATGATTATATGACCTTTCATGGTAAAGATCATATAACCTATGTCTGCTCCTATGGACTCCTACTATCGCCCATTCATTAAATGACTTCCGACTGTTCAAGGAGAATATTTTAAAAGTAAAAGTATTATTAAATTCATTGCAAATAAGCTTAAATAATGTTCCATACAAAAAATTTGGATCATTTTGGTATGAAAGTGATGGAAGTTTTTTTACTATGTTACTTCTAAATTTCTCCAAGCGACGTGCATTTACTGGAACAAACACAACTTTCTCATCTACTTGCTTTTTGTGAACATAAGGTAACGATACTACCTGTCCACAGTGATCAGAACTTAATTTTTGAATTATACATTTATGCAACGGCTTCACATTTGTAAAAAATGTTATCTATACATGTTGCACTAGATTGAACAATACGCGTTGGCTCTAAAAATAAATTAAAAAGACCATATGATTAAAACAATGATCTAAATTTAATATTGATTGAGGAAGCTTCTAGGAGATTGATATTAAAGTCTCCACATATTACAACAGATTTATTCTGTTTATTAAGTTTAGCAAAAACTTCCTCTATAATTTTTTCCAAAGTATCGTATATAGAACATGGGCGTCTGTAGACGCTCACAACAATGAGGTGCTCAAACTCAATACATGCCATTTCTACAGTTCGCTGAACAGAGAGGCTCACAATATCTTTACGTTCCTTACATGACAATAATTTACTAGCTAATATTAAGGAGCCACCTCTTAAAACCGTTTTTCTATTGAAAGAACTGACCACGTGGTGATTACTGAAGTTAAACATTAAGTTATAAGCTTTGAACCAATGTTCAGTAATACATAAAATATGAATATTGTTGCTATTTAAGAACAACTCAATTTCTAGCTCTTTGCCTATCATGCCTTGTATATTTTGATGCACCAGGTGTAAACAATTTTCATTATTATTCTGTGGAGTCATACAATTAAAGATTTGTAAGCTACATTCTAAATTATTTAAATTATTACAACTGCTAGAGATTACCTCTATTGTCTCATTTTCTAATTTAAAATTCTAATCTAATTCAAAAGGAGCAGATGTCTGTGTAGCCAAGTCCTTGGCTGAGTTAATATATAAACAATAAGATAGCACATTTGCTATCTGTCTTAAATTATATTTTGATAGGTAATACCTATCTCTAGTCTAGTACTCTAGTATATATATATATATATATATATATATATATATATATATATATATATATATATATATATATATATATATATATATATATATATATATATATTATGAAGACCTAGCCTTTGTCCTTTGGGTAATAGTCCCTTATTTAGCAGTCTCCCCTTAGAAACACCAGTACTGCCGGAGTTGGAGATTTAATACCTTTTATAAGATTATTTATTAACTGGTGATTGGTAACAGGTTGTCAACCGTAGTTATTTGTATACCTTCGGGAAGTTTCTGGACTGAAATCAAATAAAAAATAACTCCAGACCGCATATATATTAGGTATATATCTGTGTTCTGGAGTTCTGGATAGTTATGAGGTATTTTACTAGTAATTTGAAATGAACTGAATCGTCAAAACACTTTCAGTCCACCTGATGGTAAGTGGCTACTGCAGTCCATGGACACCTGCAGTCAACTTCAAGCTATGAAGGCTACATATGCGTTGTCACCTCTGAGGACTAAGATGGAATGCTTCACAGTCTGTAATTGTACTGGCTCTCTTTACTCTTCAAACCGGCACTCAGAAATGCAAGAATTGCTTTTTGACGCTTCAAAAAGGAGGTACTCAATTCGACTATGTTTTTTTTTTATTTCTTTATGTGAGTTACCTCAACTTTTTTCTGGATGAACCGATTTCAATGATTTTTTTTATTTGAAAGCTGGTGGTTGATCAAGGTCTGACTAATAGTTTTTGAGTTATTCTTTATAATTTATATTGAAGTGGGTTGTACAAAATTATTAATTACTAGCAGAGATCCCCTCAACTTCGCCCGCGTTACTCTTGTATTTCATGGGTTTTAATTTTTTTGCGCGAAACCCTAATTATTTTACTTAAATAAAAGTAGCCTAAGTTACTCCTTATAACATCAGCTATCTGCCAGTGAAAATCCCGTCAAAATCGGTCCAGCCGTATCGGAGATTAGCTGGAACAAACAGAGAGACAGACAAAAATTTCAAAAAATGTTTTTTGTTATAAGTACCGTAAATACTTTCATATGCATTTAGTAAAAAGCTGTTATTTTGACATTACAAACAGACACTTCAATTTTATTTATTTGTATAGATGTATAGATTACATTAAACGAGGCATTCCATCTTAGACCTCAAGGATGACATCGCATCTGCATTTTGATTCTTAATTGAAGATAGATCTAGATATATAGGCAACAGCATCCTCAGGTGGACTGTGTGCTAGTTTGTCACCCATATTCTATTAAAAAAGCATTTCCTTGGTCACCAATGGCAAACAAAGAGGAATCCACTTGGACGACGAAGGGCCGGGGCGAGATGGTACCGTCGAGCCAATTCCGGAGGCTTGTTGGTGAACTGTGGCGGTAGGGGAGTGCTTTTCAACTTCTCGCCGCAACACTGGTGTAGTCAGATGAAAGAGGACAGTTAGTATTATGAGGCGTCGTTATTACTACCTTACGCGGCCATAACTTGGTCGGCAGTGAAGCTATAGACCAGATCTGCTGCTGGGG